AGTGTGTCCTTGCAGGTTCATCGTGTAACAAACAGCCCTGTCTCTTGGAGGCTGTAGGTAATGGGGGAGGCTGTGTCTGTGTGGAGGCAGAGTTCATGTGGGAAATCTCTGTACCTTCCTCTTGATCTTGTTGTGAACCTAAAACTTTTCTTGTTAATAAAAAATATGCCATCACACAGAGTAAAAGTAAAGGATGAAAATAATTAACATGCAAACTCAAACTAAAAAAAGTTGGAATGAGTATATTACTTTTAGACTAATTCATCTTCAAAAGAAGATATGTTATCAGTGAGGAATTATTGCATAATAAAGACATAAGAATCCTATACACAGAAAAATCACAAATGAATAGTGCTTATTTTATAAGACTTGCTAAAATATACCAATAAAAGAAAGAGATAAATTGGTCAAAATCCTTCCAAAGAGTCAAAACTGAAAAATAGATTGAAAATAAAAGTGTTGAAATGGGCCCAAACACATTTATCTTATATGAAATTCTAAAGTTTGACAATTATACATATTAAGACAATGTTTTTTAAAAAAGAATGGATATGGGCAAAAATAATCAACCATGATTATGGTTGATAGTCCATAATGGTGATGGCTTTCAGACGAACATAAAAGGAAGTACCATGGGCGTTGTGCCAAACTTTGTGCCACTATTTTGTATATAGAAAAGTTTAGAACAAAGGGGCCAACTGAATAGATCTGAGATATGCCCCATATTCTGCATGACAAGCTGATTCTGAAGAAGGTAATTGATTGCCCAGAGAAATACTGATAAAAGAAAGATTGATCTCATTTAATTGTAATGGAGGTTAAAGGAATTAACAAGCCCAGGTTAAAGAAGGTATTCTAAAAAGTTAGTGTCTGGAACACCCTGCTTCTGATAATCAGCATTCTGAATACCCTTGGTTCAGAGGGAGTGAGAAAATCATAGTGAAAGACCAGCATAAAAGGGTGAATCCTGCAATTCATTATCTGTCATTTTTCCATAAATAATAATTTTTAGTTTTCTTCTCAGAGACAGTGCCTCTACAAAAGGAAAGCTAACTAAAATGAACGATTAAACATTATGCATGTTAAATAAGTACCTACTTTTTAAAACAAACAAAAATCTTCAGGATTATGATGTGTGAACTAAAAACCATTGTTCTTTAGTCCCTAGTATATGGTCACTGTTTCTGATACATTTTTTATGTGCTTAGCCGTACAGTACTTTGCTTCTGTATAGTACAGTGCAGTGGGGTAGTATGCTCATTTGGCAGATTTGTTAATCATGTTGTTCCAGTATTCTACATCATTAGTATTTTTTTCTAATTGTTCTGTCAATTAACTTTAACATTTTTTTTCTTTCCTTCTGTGGATGATACTTTTATCATTCCACTTTTCCCCATCATTCATTTAGAAGTTTTACAGTCTTTCCTCTAATTTTAGTGACAGCCCTAGAAACTACACTCAGATTTATTAAAGTCTGATATTAATTGATAATTTTACCTTCATTTTGTCAACTAAAGTATCTCAGACCACTTTTAATGCAATTAATATCTCCCGACATAAGTTCTATTTTTTTTACTAAGTTTAATTATATTCACATACAAACGTAAAACCCTGCTAGAATTATTATTGTTTTTATTATCAATATATGGACCTTTGTTTCTCTTCGGCTACAGTGCCCAAGCTGCTGGAGAACCTCCTGTCTCAGAGGAAAACCATCTCTGTCCAGGGTTGCCTGGCTCAAGTCTTTTTTGTGTTTGATTCGGGGGGCACTGAAGCCTGCCTGCTCTCAGTGATGGCCTATGACCGCTACGTTGCCATCTGCCACCCTCTGCTCTATGGCCAGAAGATAACCAACAAGCTCTGTAATGGGCTAGTGTGGGGCTCCTGGGGCCTGGGATTTCTGGATGCACTCATCAACATCCTTCCAGCTATGAGCTTGGACTTCTGTAAGGATCAGTCCATCCCCCACTACAGCTGTGAGCTGCCCTCTCTCTTCCCTCTGTCCTGCTCTGATGTCTCCACCAACTTTACTATTCTGCTCTGCTCCAGCCTCCTGCATGGGCTTGTAACCTGTGTCCTTATTGTCTTTTCCTATACTCCAATTGTCTCCACCATCCTGAGCATCAGCTCCTCCTCAGGTAGAAGCAAGGCCTTCTCCACCTGCTCCTCCCACCTCACTGCTGTCCTCCTGCTTTATGGCTCAGCTTTCCTTCGCTATCTCACGCCAACCTCAGGTTCACCCCTGGAGTTAGTGTTCTCTGTCCTGTATGGTGTGGTCACTCCCTTAGTGAATCCCCTCATCTACAGCTTGAAGAACAAGGAGGTGAAAACAGCTGTGAGAAGGACCTTTGGAAAATATCTCCAATATTCCAGTAGCTGGCCATAGTCAGAGGATGGTGGAGAATTAGTTTACTACAGCAGGATATTCTGGTTACTAGATATTGATATTGGATGAACTAAGGAATCTCAGAAATTCATAAGGCTAGTCAGATGATGATGAGACCAACATCAAGAATGAGCAGGGACTATTTCTTTTCCTTGTTGAGTAGTATGCCATCGTAAGGCTGTTTCGCGGTTCGTTTATTACCAGACCAAAAACATTTGGGTTATTTAGTTACTGACTATTACAATTAAAACGGGTCTGAACATTCATGTCCAGGTTTTTGTATAAATACGTTTTCACTTTGTAAGAGTGTATACCCTGGAGGGGATTTTCTGTGGCCTGTGGTAAATGTAGATATAACTTAATAAAAACCTTTTTCTGAGCTGTTTTCCAGAATGGCTGTACCATTAACATTCCCATCAGAAGAATATGTGGGATTCAGTAACTCTGCCACACATTGTCCCTACTGGTGTATTTTTTATTAATTTTAGCTATTCTTAATAAGTTGTCATGGTTGTAGTTAGAAATCAACTATACCCCCAAAATAGAGGACACCAAAAAATGGTGAAATCATAAGCTTAATAGTTTTGCACCACTGTAACTCTCCTGATTTTAATAACTGTGCTCTGACTGTGTAGAATAGTATCATTTAGGAAAGCTAAGTGAATAGTGAGTAGGGACTATCTTATTTTTGCAAATTTTTTGATTTCTAACTTTTTTTTCAGAACAAAAAGTTTTAAAAATATGTTCAAAACTATGGACTCTGGGTGCTGTAGTGTGTCCTTGCAGGTTCATCGTGTAACAAACAGCCCTGTCTCTTGGAGGCTGTAGGTAATGGGGGAGGCTGTGTCTGTGTGGAGGCAGAGTTCATGTGGGAAATCTCTGTACCTTCCTCTTGATCTTGTTGTGAACCTAAAACTTTTCTTGTTAATAAAAAATATGCCACCACACAGAGTAAAAGTAAAGGATGAAAATAATTAACATGCAAACTCAAACTAAAAAAAGTTGGAATGAGTATATTACTTTTAGACTAATTCATCTTCAAAAGAAGATATGTTATCAGTGAGGAATTATTGCATAATAAAGACATAAGAATCCTATTCACAGAAAAATCACAAATGAATAGTGCTTATTTTATAAGACTTGCTAAAATATACCAATAAAAGAAAGAGATAAATTGGTCAAAATCCTTCCAAAGAGTCAAAACTGAAAAATAGATTGAAAATAAAAGTGTTGAAATGGGCCCAAACACATTTATCTTATATGAAATTCTAAAGTTTGACAATTATACATATTAAGACAATGTTTTTTAAAAAAGAATGGATATGGGCAAAAATAATCAACCATGATTATGGTTGATAGTCCATAATGGTGATGGCTTTCAGACGAACATAAAAGGAAGTACCATGGGCCTTGTGCCAAACTTTGTGCCACTATTTTGTATATAGAAAAGTTTAGAACAAAGGGGCCAACTGAATAGATCTGAGATATGCCCCATATTCTGCATGACAAGCTGATTCTGAAGAAGGTAATTGATTGCCCAGAGAAATACTGATAAAAGAAAGATTGATCTCATTTAATTGTAATGGAGGTTAAAGGAATTAACAAGCCCAGGTTAAAGAAGGTATTCTAAAAAGTTAGTGTCTGGAACACCCTGCTTCTGATAATCAGCATTCTGAATACCCTTGGTTCAGAGGGAGTGAGAAAATCATAGTGAAAGACCAGCATAAAAGGGTGAATCCTGCAATTCATTATCTGTCATTTTTCCATAAATAATAATTTTTAGTTTTCTTCTCAGAGACAGTGCCTGTACAAAAGGAAAGCTAACTAAAATGAACGATTAAACATTATGCATGTTAAATAAGTACCTACTTTTTAAAACAAACAAAAATCTTCAGGATTATGATGTGTGAACTAAAAACCATTGTTCTTTAGTCCCTAGTATATGGTCACTGTTTCTGATACATTTTTTATGTGCTTAGCCGTACAGTACTTTGCTTCTGTATAGTACAGTGCAGTGGGGTAGTATGCTCATTTGGCAGATTTGTTAATCATGTTGTTCCAGTATTCTACATCGTTAGTATTTTTTTCTAATTGTTCTGTCAATTAACTTTAACATTTTTTTTCTTTCCTTCTGTGGATGATACTTTTATCATTCCACTTTTCCCCATCATTCATTTAGAAGTTTTACAGTCTTTCCTCTAATTTTAGTGACAGCCCTAGAAACTACACTCAGACTTATTAAAGTCTGATATTAATTGATAATTTTACCTTCATTTTGTCAACTAAAGTATCTCAGACCACTTTTAATGCAATTAATATCTCCCGACATAAGTTCTATTTTTTTTACTAAGTTTAATTATATTCACATACAAACGTAAAACCCTGCTAGAATTATTATTGTTTTTATTATCAATATTCCTTTAATCCACATGTGTACTACTTTCTTTCATCTTCATTCCTTCCTGTATTTCAGAAATTACATCTGAGCTTATAATTTTCCTTCCTGTAGAACACGTTTCAAAATTTCCTTGGATGCAATTATGCTGGTGGCAAATGCTCTTATTTTCTGTTTCTCTGAAATGTCTTTAATTCTGCCTTAACTATGACAGCAATTTTATTGAGTGTAAAAATTTAAGATGATAGTTTTTTCTTTCAGCCCATTGAAGATCTTATCCCATTATCATTGGGCTTCCATTTGTTATGTTGCAGTGGTTAGCTCCCGCTGTTTTGAAGGCAATCTGACCTTTCCCTTTCACCAGCATTCAAATTTTTCTCTTTAGGTTTCCTGATGTTTCACCGTGATGTGTTCTGAAGCAGTTTTTTAAAATATATCCTACTTGTGATCCTTTGGACTTCCTGAATATATGCAGACTGATTCTGAAAAAGTGTCAACTATTGTTCTTTCAAATATACCTTTTCTTCCATTCTTTCCTTCTTTTGGAACTTCAATAAAATTTACTTAGACTTTCTCATTTCATCCTCTATGTCTCTTACCTCTTTAATGCAGTTTTTCTTTCTTTTTTGTCTTTGTGCTGCTTCTGCAAGTTGCTTGTGACATGTTATCCAATTAACCAATTCTCTTCAGCTGGACGGCATCCATACACCGAGTTCTTGACTTTGGTTATTGTAATTTACAATTGAGATTTTTTTTTCACTTTTTAAAGTTTCCAGTTCCCTGAAAAGATTTCCAAGCTGGATTTTATCCTGTTGATATAGTAAAGCATTCTTGGTTCATTGTTGGTTTCCAGTGACTGCATTATGTAGAGTCAAAGCTGGTCTGTTTTTATTGTTTGCTGCTCTTCCTAGTTCTTAGTTTTTGTTCTTTTTTACTTGCATACCTGGTTTTATTTGACTCAGGCTAAACATATTGATCAAAAAATTAGATGTAATAAAGAGAGCTAGGATGAAGTTATCATCTTCCATGTTGGTTGATTATTGATTTATTTCTTAACATTTGCATAAGATGTCAGCAATCTAGGATCATATAAAGATCAAGGCTTGATTGAGATTTTCTGCTTTACCCAGAAGACATGAAGTCAGGCTGTAGACCGTGAAAGAATCCATTTTCTTTCAACCCATTTTTACTCTAGTGCAGAATTTTAGGTCCCATCCCTCAGTCTAGAGAGCTTCACCAGGGTTTTCACCCTTGATGACCCTAAATTATGATGCTTAAACCCCAACCTTTGCAAGGCTGCCAAAAGTCATGTTCAGAGTCTCAGCTGCTCCATTTGGATAGAAAACGTCTTTAGGAAAAAATGACCCTAAATACTTTGCTTATTTGTTTGAGTTCCTGGACTCTCCGTGATCTTGACCTGCTAAATACTCACTACCTTTTTAGCTTTTTAGTGCTATATAGAAGACATTATGCATTTAATTCAAAACTTTTTGTTCTCTCTAGTGGAATGGGGTCTGAATATCCTTGTCTGTACTTCCAGGAGTTGGAAACTCAGCAGAGCCCTTTCTTTTCTAGTTTTACTTTGGCTTGTACTGAGCAGGCCCCACCCCCCTTCCCTGGCTTTCAACTTTACTCTATCGTTTGCAGCTGCAGATGGTGTGGGGTAGACACCCACACAGGCAGTGCTGACAGATAATAAATAGATAAAAATATTTGGAGAGCAATTTGGTCCTATCAGCATTTCACACTCAAAATATTCATAGATTATCCTACAGGATTACCATCATGAGGATATATGGTCCTCAAGCTCTTCATATAACAACATGAAGTTGGAAACAATTCTGGAATGTGTATAAATACTGCAATTTTGGTATGTGGGATGGGGAAGGGGCTAAAGGTGGTTGTATTTTTTTTAACAATATTTAAAGTTAACAGGTGAGTCATGGAATGTTTATCATATTAAAAAGTACTAATGAACAATATAGGAAAAAATGTAAAGTAAGTAAAGTGAAACATAACATAAAATAAAAGATATAGATGTGTGGAGCAATGATCATTCATAATGGACAAAGGATTATGGCTATAATTCTGTGGCATGAGATCATAAAAGGGAGAAAGGTTTTTTAAAAAAAGAAAGATGGAATGAAGGAAGGAAGAAACAAAGAAAGAAAGGAAGAAAGGAAGGCAGAAACTCTGACTTTAAATTTTTTTTGAACAATTGCATGATTAATAGAAAGGTCAACTTTAAAAACATTGAAGAGTAGGAGAATTATTCAATATACAAAGTTTATGTGCTTGGCAGAATATAATAGAATTTTCAAGCTATATTTTAAAACATGGAAAAGTATTCATACAATATTGTATACAACTGTAATGAAAATTACGTGAAAGACAACATACTAAAGAGCTTTTAGTATGGATTAAATGCAGCTATTAGCCACTTTCACTGAAAAATAGAATATTTTTTTGTATTTTTCAAAATTTCTAAGTTGAGAGCTTTCAGTGATCAGGCAAAAGATGTATATTTGTACTGTACAGAATGTTTCTAAAATTTTTAATGGAGTAAGAAACAGGGTACATTACATATTTTCATCTTTAAGAGAAA